GGAACATCACTGAAGGGGTGATACGTGGTGTCTGGTCATTTGATTTTTATTTTTATGCCTTTATTTCAATAGACTGGTGACTGCAAGGTTGACAGACGAGCAGACTGACTGTCGTCGTGGATTGTGAGTATCAGATGGTGACATTCGGGACTTGAGCGCGCATGGCACCTGTGGACGTAACAAGCACCCCCTGATGTTTGGACTCAAATCTTTTGCAAAAAAAGAATTCTCCACAAGATTTAGTTGATAATCGTTGCTGATTCGGTCAAACACCCTGCAGTTAAGGCGAGAAGCGTAACATGTTGCTGAGTGTTTCGTTCCTGGTGGTTTTACTGCTGAGCATAACCGGCTGCGGCTCGTCGTACGTGCCGTGCGAACCCTGCGATCGGAAGGCCATGTCCATGTGTCCGCCGGTGCCAGTGGGCTGCCAGCTGGTGAAGGAGCCCGGCTGTGGCTGCTGCCTGACGTGCGCACTCGATGAAGGCCATGCGTGCGGTGTGTACACCGGGCCGTGCACACGCGGGCTCCGCTGCCTTCCCAAGAACGGCGAGCCGCTGCACGCGCTCCTGCACGGTAGGGGGGTATGCAGGAACGAGAAGTTGTATAAACTACTGCATCCGCCTAGAGGTAGGTCTGAGACATGACTGACTGACATCATAGTTGCTGTAATAACGATTAAACAGGTCGCTGCATGAACATTCATTAACTGAAGTAATTCAGGCATTAATGGATGACAGCGTCGATTTTTACATTCTTTTATGTAATCTTCCCCAATATATTCAACTAGGGCTTTAAGGTCTAACTACAGCACTGTATATGTAGTGATTTCCTTGGTTAAGCAATAATTCAAAATAAATAATACTATCATATTAAATTCGGCTCTGGTAGTGTTTCTGCTGCATTTACTTATAGGCTTTAGTTGAAGATCTAAAGTATGCTGGTGCAAAGAAACAGCAAACAGTTGTGACACACACACACACACACACACACACACACACACACACAGCAGCCAGCAATGCACTGGCATATATAAAAAGAAATCATCAGTCCATGAAATGAAGTTATTTCCTAAAAGTAGGGGATATAAAAATAGGGTGAAATGACCTTGCGTGCCTTCCCATGTCTCCCTCTCTTTGGGTGCCAGGGAGGCTGAGCCACCTTGCAGCTCTCTTAAGATGATCTGACACCTGTCATTACCAAGGGACAGGACTCAACCCCCCCTGTGTGCCTTGACCCTGTGAACTCTGTCAACAATTGGTTTTGAGTGCTGGTCAACTTGTCATCTCAGTTTGAAAGGCCCTTGTGGGGCTGCATGCTGTAAATCAGTGGGTTTCATGTGAGTGGTCACATCAGTGGCCTCCAGCTGACATGAAACAAGGGAGATGATTACAGATGGTGCTCTGCGAGGCTCCTTGTTGGCTCATGTGAATGGCAGTTCAAGGACAGTCACTGTGTCTGCTGGGGAGCACTGAGGAGAGCTTTGTGGGAAATGTTGGCTTGTGGCCCTTGGGCTCATTCACTTCCCTTTACCCTGTTCCCTTCCTCTACAGTTTCTTTATTTCTTTCTTTTTTACTTTTCTCTTGCAGCCTTTCTTTGATCAGTCCCCCTGCACACCTCTTCATCCACCACCTGTGCCTTTTTCTCACAGCTAAAACAACTTC